CTAGCGGACTAATGATGACGACAGCCACTCAAGTTCATACGGCGCCCAAGCGATCAAATTAACTTGAGGTTTATATCAACATCAAAGCATTCCATTCCATTCTATAAAAAAAGCACTTGTTTCGTCGTTTTCTCTAATAGTTCACACGCGCAGACACTTAATTCACAAAATCACATCACTTTTACATTATTCAAGTGACAAAACAGCAGCGACAGTCCGTCTTCGGCCAAGTTCCCGCTAAAAAAGATTTTTTTAATGTTGGCAACACTGCGTTTTGGCATTATCAGTCAGTCATACGTAGACAGAGAAACCTATAGACAAATTTACGCCTTCTTTCGCATTCGCACACGAAAAAGATAGATTTATGCATACGGCTTGCATAGAAATGAAATAGAGCGGTGTGGTTGTTTGTCCCTTTCTCCGTGGTTTTTTTGTAACTCTTTTTAAAACTCTACAGTTTGCTAAACAACTTTAATAGCGTAGCGATTTAAGGAGTTTAAAAGTTGGTTTAAGTGAGAAAAAAGTGTTTTGGGAGCTTAAGATTGGTAAATGTTGTTCAGTTCAGTTCTTAGAACAATTAAAATTTTTATTTAAGTGTGTTTTAAAGACATAAAGATTATTGTATAACCTAAAAATTCGTTATCGTCCTTTCTCACTCGAGGCCACGCCGATCATTAGTCTATAGGTTTCTCTGTCTACGCAGTCATAGCTCTCTATAGACGATAAAAGACAGCTTGATCCCTGCGACATATGTCAAACTGACATTCCTAGGGTTGTTAGGATATAAAAAAGTTGTCGATAGAAATTATCGATGTTGCTTATTATTATCGATGCTAATGTAACATATAGTAATTGGGTTTAATTTAATTACAAACGTTACTAAATTAAACGAATATTTTTAATATAAAATGCATTAATTTATTCTCTTAAAGGATTACACCCAAATCCATATCTAAATCAGTTTCTGAATCGCTAGAACAATCTTGTAAATTTATTATAAACTCTTGTTCGCAAATATTATCAAATCGGACGTCCCGCTCCTAATCTTCTTCCATTAGTTTTCTGCATTTGGTTACCACCTTCTTCCAGTCTTCTGCAGATACATTGTCAACCGCACTTTTTAATAACTGCAACATTTTTTGGCGTGTTGTGTTGTATCTGGTAGCGTAACCTTAAAAGAAAACATATTTTTAATAAGATTAATTAAACAGTAGTTAATAATTAAAGTATCTATCTAACTGAAATTCAAGCAAACAAACCTTTGACTTGGGCCCAGATAAGCTCGATCGGATTATACTGGCAGTGGTACGGGGGTAGGTACTCTTATGACGGTATGACCCCTTTTCGTGGGATATATCATCTAAGACATACACGTTGGAGTACTAGGTTTGTGCAGACCAACGAGTCCTAATAATTCATTTTGAAGCATAGTTTCATTGGCCTCTATTCCTTTTTCTTGAAACCATGCAATGATTTCTAATTTTTTGTTTGCCGAAGTTGGTGGTTTGTGCTTTTGGACCGAGTGATATGGGGCGTTATCCATAATAATGCAATGTCTCTTTAAAGTATCTAATAATTTAAAAACCACTCTTAAATTTTTCAAAATTCATTTCCTCGTGGTATGGAGTAGTTTTAGTTGATTTGAATGCCAATAGGCAATTAGGCACAAAACCAGATGACGTCCCAGCATGAGTGATGATTAATCTTTGACCTTTGCCTTTGCGGGTAGTTTGGTGGTTGATGATGCAGTATCATCAGTCCAAGCTTTGGATAAGGTATGATTGGTGTTTAGCCATGTCTCGTCTAGAAACACTACTTTGTCCCAATTTATGATTTTTTTTGACTTTTCGGAGAAAATTCACTCGAGCAAGAGCAATGTCGTTTCTTTCCATAATAATTTTTCTTTTGTCACTTTTTGTAGGAAAAACCAGTATTTTTCAATATCTTCGTTAGATATGGCAAGCTTCCTTTGAACAAGTCTGCGTCTTTGAGGGACGCGGCAAGTTTTTTCAATGTAGACAATTCGCCCCGTGTATAGTAACCATAACCAATATACATGGTAAGTAACCAATATACATGGTTGCGAATCGCAGCGGTGTAAAAGTTGTCAATGATTGTGACAGGAGCAGCCTTTTTCCTTTTTTTATTTGGTGTTGCAAGTTTTTTGTCCTCTTCTTCAGTCAATGCTGCGGTTGAAGATTCGCCATACTTTTCTTTGCTGATGCGAATTACTGTCGCATGTCCAATGCCAAGAGCATCTGCAACTCTATCACATACGTTCTCCATGGGTAACAGCGGCACGCTATTTTGGTTTTCTCGCTCAAAACATTCACGTAAGCGAATCACAAACTCACGACTTTGACTGTTCAAAACGGTTCTCTTCGTTCTCTTTGGCATTATGCCAATAAGAAAATAACAATAACAACAAAAGATAGCAAAACTTAACAAATTAACAAACAATAACAGCAATAGTAACAAAAACAAGGTAATGAGAACGGAAAACACGTAGCGTATACAAGGCGTCGGCACTCGTACTGAAGAGAATGGAGGTTCATATCAAACAAGATGGCGGCACTAATTAGGTCTGCATGCCCATAAAATATGACATTGACAGGTACTGTCTGTATGTCTGTACTACTAAGAAATTCAGGACTTCATAGGCGTGATTTTACTGACAGCTGTCGCAGTGATCAAGCTATCTTTTATGAAGTATGAACCATAGTATACATACCAATCTATCTATGAGTCAGTCTGTGTCAGTGTTAAAGTTTTAATAATTATATATTTGTAATCTTACAACACATTAGAATAATGAACCATTGACTGTTATAATATATTCATTATCGTTAGAAAGCGTCATCTGATTACGTTTACGGTCCAGCCGTCGGCTGAGACGCGGCACCCCAATGGGAGTCAATAAAATACTACATTCATTATGCCACAAGGATTGCGTATAGCTTACACTAATTTAAACTCTAAGCTAACTTTATAAAAGCTTATTTTACTAACACTAAATTATAACGGTAAACAAAAATATATTAATTCCCTCATTGCTAGTTGTTGCCTGCATATTAGTGTTCAATTAGCTGTCTAGCTGAGATGACAATGACACTGTTATCTGTTAAATTATATACGTAATGTTTTGATAGCAGGTCTCTATATTACGTCAAAAAGCTATTGTTGTTTTTATTTATCGTTAAGTTTTATTCCTAAAGTAATTTTAAATCCTATCAATTTAGTGATATATAGATAGGATTTAGCGTGTTGTATGTAAAAGTGTATAGTAATGTCGCGTCAGCGTAGCGCAGCCATTTGGAACTATTTTATAGTCCAAAGTGTGGACGAAAAAAGCAGTGTGCAATTATTGCAAAAAAACTTTATCTTTCAAAAGTACAATTACAAATTTAAAGCTTCACCTTAAGCAAAGACACGTAGGAGTGTATGATGAGTTTTGCCGTTTGGATTTAATATCGGATAGACTCACAAGGCTTACGTCGTCAAAAGTAAACCTAATAATGTTTTTGAATAGTAACTGAAAAAAATGTAACTAATTGTAGATAACTAAAACTTTGATCATAGTGTAAATAATGTAAAAATTCAGTCAAAATGTACATAACATCAATAAGCTTCTAACTACGCCTGAATGAGTTATTTTTCTTAAAATGTTTGAAAATATGAGTAAATAATTATAACAGATACAATAATTACACAGTCCTAAGCCTGTAAAAAGTAGGAAGGGAAGTTCATTGAACTTAACATACATATTTTAAATGATTCTCTTTTAAAACATGAAACACTCAAATGATGCTAATACAACTTTAAAAATATTTTTTTGTCTTCATATAATACTTATAATCGTTTAATATTTATAATATTTATAATCGTAATAATCTTTCATCATAATATTTATAATCGTTATAAAAATATACAACAAAACGCTAACACAGCCGACAACTGAACAGAACTAACCGCGTGTACAATCTAATATTTGAAACTGTTATAATATATTATAACAGTTTAAAACAACAGTTAGAAAAATATATTACAACAACATGACGAAAGTCAGTGATGACGAATTAGAAAAATATAACAGTTTCGCCCACCTTTCGTCAGTGTGTCAGTCTCGTGCAGTGTTGCCATATATACAGATTACTCCGTATTTATACAGATTTTCGGTGTGTAAAACTCTATTGATTGAATTATCATAATATACAACTTAAAACAGAACGAAGCAAAATATATGACTATATATTCATAGATACCGCGTTAAACACTTCATTACATGATTCTATTCTTTATGGTTAATTTATTTTTTCACAACGTAATTATTTAGTATGAGAGCATTACAAGCGTATTATAAAATACATTGATATTGATAAAATATGTATACTGGATAATCTTTTTTATAGTCTGGAAAAAAATTGGACGTAACATGTGAACAGACTAGAAGCCTATGGCACTGATATTTTACAAAAAAATGAAATAAATAAATAATTAATGAATTCCTGCCTTGTCTGGTTTTTTTTTTGCTTTCTACAATTTTGAGTTAAATGTATACAGATTTAATACAGATTTTAGCTGTTTCAACTACAGATAAAAGGTTCAAGGCATCTGGCAACACTGGTCTGGTGTTCTGTGCAGTCCACAGAGTACCTTTGTATAAATTGAAAGTGCAGTACACAGTAATCTATGGTGCAGTCTGTGTCAAAATCGTCAAAATGCTAATGGAGTAGCGTCAAGTAGCGTCGTGCAATAGAACTGTTCCATGTTGTGTTAATTTTTGTATAATTTGATGACTGATTACTTAGAATGTAACTAGTGAATATAGCGTATAAAACAACTCATTGAGTTTATTTACACGAATTGAGAAGCTACTTTCCGATTTTATTTGACGTTTGTTTCCACGTGGTGACTGTCATTCTAAGTCATTCGAAGTCTACGTGTTCTGGCACAGTTGCAATTCTGACTTCGTAATTCGTAACGCTAGATTTTATTAAACAATGGAGTCCTTGAATATGTCGAAGCTTAATTTGTCGAGTGTCAGGAGTCACGCCTCTAACGATACTGTGATAAAACCTGAGATTTCTGAGTTCAAATTGGAAACTAATGTAAGTATCGGTATACAATATGTTCAGCACACCCTAATAAAAATTCCCTACAATTTTTTATATTTGCCATATTTTTTTATTAATTTAACACCCGTTAACATTAATAGTTTCTTGGAAGTATATTTAAGTTTACGATTGGAATGAATAATAAACCTAACCTAACCTTACCGTAACCGCTTCGATTATCATCGAAGTAATTATTTTTGTAATAATATCAGAACAACTAAACGGGGAGCTATAATTTCGTTGAGTATATGTATCCTTGTTATTCCGATGTCCAGATGTGGTTTTTACAGGCTAATAAAAATGATGATGAAATGTTCAGAATATTATGAAATTTTTCTTATTGCACTTGTTACAGATGCTCACAGATCCTGATGATGAGTACCATTGTGAATATAGAGAGGATATCTGGAAAAATCTATTGGAACAAGAGGCACAAAAGCCAATTATACATCTTCAGTCACCGCAAGTAAGTAAAGCTTGTACATAGATCAGTGCTTATAAATTATTATAAATTAAATTACTTTTTTATAAAACTAAAATGACAAAACAAATAACATTATACATATATAGATAGGTAGATAAGCAGTCCTAGTAAATCATAATTGCATCAAGTGTTACATCAGCATAAGTAGGCACTTGAAAGTGCCAATGTATCTGCATGTGGCACTGTAATGATACTGTGTCATTTTAGCTTCAGTATTGCTATTGTTAATATGGAATTATTTCACTTGCAACCATAACATATTTTGATCAGTTAAATTATTAATGGGTGGTAAATTGTACTAGACTCGAAGGTGAAACAATTATAATTTACATTAGTAGTGTAATGTACGTACACGAAAACAAAAGTAATTTTACAAAAATAAGTGATATTTAATCTGTAATTACCAGCAACATACATAAGCTAGGAGTACCAGTTACTCTACTCCAACGAATCAGTAATTCATTCTTGGGCTATGTATATGCTTTTACAACAAAATTCCAGAAAATATACAAAATTTAACCTGCACAAAGTTCAAAAGCTTTATTAAAGTCAGTTTTTGTTATATTTTATTAAGGAATTTATGGTTGATAATAACTCCAGGGTATGGTGATTGTTACCATGCTATTTCTAATTTGTTTCGTGTTTTTAATTGTAACATACATGATTGTAAGTCAGGACAGAGGTTTTTTTTTCAGAACCAGTGGTAAATTAGAAAGAAGTGACTCAATAAGTATTATTTATAATCTATATTGAATAAAAAAAGTTTGTTTCTAGAAGTATGTCATCCCAATTGCAACTTTTTCATTTATTTTTCGGTCACAATTTCCCTGGCTTTGTTCATATAAGTGTCATCTATGTGTGTTTGTTTTGTTCATTACACTTGTGAAAAAAATGTGATGTAGCAATGAGGGGACCTGACGTATGCCATATTTTCTGGAAAAAAATTGATTGAATTGCAGCGAGTACAGCAGCAACACTGGTTAGCTTCAAAGTATTGATTGGGAATTTGTTAAAGTGTTTGAGATTGGTCAAAACACCAGACTTATATTTTATAGAATATGTTTTCCTGCACCTATATGAGCATGTGGTAAATCAGCATATAGATTGCAATTAACAATTTTACCAATAAAGATTGAATTTGAGTACTGTAAAATATACAGCGGTTCCGGTCATTGAACTGATTGGACTTGCGTCAACGTTCTCCGCGAATATATACTCGAGTTGTGTGCAAAAACAAGTGTAATCAACCGTATTTTACCTAAGATTGCTGAACAAAATAATAACGGGCAAAATCCAGAAGTAAAAACAGTGGAAACCAACATAAGTGAAAAATTGTACAACAAACATTTTGAAACATAACCCAAAATTGCAAAATCATTGAAGGGAAGTGAACAACACACCATAGACAACTTTCAAGAAGCGACATTAAAAAGTGTTGCCTACCAGAATTCAATGTTACTTAACGAAACCTAGTGTTGCCAAACAGAATTTAGGGCTGCCAACTAAAACACAGTGCTGCCATAACTGTAAAATTTCCCTAAAAAAATGGAGGAAAAGTATATGGAAAAGCTAATATCAATACTAGATAAGAAACTTAATAATCAGGCTCTTCTAATAACAACTTCAGTTACGAAAAATGTAATGGAGGCGCTTGATGAAAAGATGAAACTTATTATGGAAGAAAATAGTATCCTCAAAACAAAAATATCTGAATTAGAAATGGAAGTAAAGTTTATGAAAGATGAGAAAAGGAAAAATAATTTAGTATTTTTGGAATAGAAGAAATAGGAAAAACCGAATGTGAGCTTGTGGATTACATCAAGGACGTCATAATAGACATGGAAATACACTTTGATAGTAATGAAATCAGTAAAATATACAGAATTGGGAAACATGTCGACAACAAAAACCGCCCGGTCATAGTCACTATTACTACACTATGGAAAAAGCACCTGATATTGCGAAACAAGTCCAAACTTCCACAAGGAATATACATTAAGGAAGATTATTCTAAAGAAATGCTAGAAAAACGCAAGCAGCTACAGTTACAGTTTGAAGAAGAAAAGAAAAAAGGAAATGTAGCATTCATAACATACAATAAATTAGTAGTAAAGAAAAACAAAGATAACTACCCAGAAAAGAGAAAAAGAGAAGAGTCAGGTTCCCCAAACAATTCAAATCAAAAGAAAGCTACCACTACCGTTTTCAAGACACAAATCAACTCAGCGACCAAAACTGTAGGAAAAGACACTATAAGACCTAACATACTCAGTTATGTGGAAAGAGGAACTTCAGCTTTGATATCAGAAATACCAAAATACCTGTAAATGACATCGACACCCGGAACCGAGACAACACAACATCAATAAAACAAACTTTTTCTAAAAGCACCCCAATCCGGCCAGTCACCGTGGGGGAAGAAGACTATTACCCTCCAACTAATTTCCAATTACACATTCCTCCTAAAAAACATCGCCAAATGGCAGATAAAATACACATTGCGACATACAATACATTGTCCTTAAGAACCAATGAGAGTCTAACGGAACTAATACTAGCTCTAGAAAATGTAAAGTGGTCAATACTGGGTTTGAGTGAAGTACGACGACTAGGGGAGAGTATAGAAGACCACGGGCATTTTATATTTTATTATAAAGGAGAAACACCAGGCTTATATGGAACAGGATTCTTAATAAAAAATGAATTAAAACCATTTATTGACGAGTTTGTTGGCATCTCAGAGCGTATTGTTATACTTAATATAAAACTACCTCCGAAAAATGAAAAGTGGTCGATTGTGCAAGTCTACTCTCGAACTGAACAATCAAGTAGAATAGAAATCGACATGTTCTACTCTATGTTACAGGACGCAATAATCAAACACTCGCACAACAAATTAGTAGTGATGGGAGATTTTAATGCAAGAATAGGGGCAAGAGGAGACGGAGAACAAATGATATTGGATCCGTATTGTTCAGGCAAAAGAACAAGAAATGGGGAGAAACTTGTCCAACTGGCATATGGAAACAACTTAAAAGTACTAAACACTCTATACAGAAAACGTGAGAACAACAGATGGACGATGGATGAAAGTACCGATTCACTAAAAGGAAAGATAGAACAATTCATAGAAAAAACAAAGGACTTAGACATACAGAGTAAATACAATAAATTCGAAGAACTCTATACTACTAAAGAAGGCAAAATGGAAAGTAGAAACAACAAGACAAAATGGATAACAAACAAAACTAAAGAACTGATAAGAAGTAGAGCAGACCTTATATCTAACCCTGAAAAGACAAAAACTATAAGAAAAGACATAGCTAATTTAAGTAATAAAATAAAAACACACATGAGAAAAGACCGTCAGAGATATAGATTAGAACAACTGGAAGAATGCATACAAAGAACCGGAGGCACCAAAAAAACAGCTAAACTACTATTGGAAAAACGAGATTGGATACCAAATGTAATAAACAAAAATCATAAATGCGAGAAGCGACGCCCTGAAATCATATCAATAGCCACTCAATTTTTTGAAGAATTGTATTCAAGGAAAAACACTGCACAGACAACAATCCTAACAGGAGGAAGTGAAGTACCGGTTATAATACACGAAGAAATAGAAAAAGCTGTGAGAACTCAAAAAACAGATAAAGCTCCAGGATTGGATGGCATAAGTAACGAGTTCCTCATCCTAAATAGAAACCACCTGATATCAATTCTCAAACATCTCTTCAATGAAGTCTTACAAAGCGAGATAATACCTTACCAATGGACAACGTCAACAATAGTACTTATACATAAAAAAGGAGATAAAAATAACATTAATAATTATAGACCTATAAGTATATTGTCGAATATATATAAAATCTTCGCAAAAGTTATACTCTATAGAATAACTAGCACGTTGGATGAAAATCAACCAAGAGAGCAGGCGGGTTTCAGGAGCGGATACTCAACTTTAGACCACATTCATGTCATCAAGCAACTATTCGAAAAAGCCAATGAATACAACATAACCTTTTACTGCTGCTTTGTGGATTACAGTAAAGCTTTCGATACAATAGAGCATGAAAAAATTTGGCGGACTCAAAAACCAAGGTATTGAAAATAAATACATCAGAATACTAAAAAATATCTACGATAACAGCAAGGCTAAGATAAAACTAGAGAAGGAAGGTAAAGATATTATAATAGGAAGAGGCGTACGTCAGGGCGATCCGCTATCGCCGAAACTCTTTACAGCCGTTTTGGAAGAAGTCTTTCGTCAATTAGACTGGGAGAAATGTGGACTGTCCATTAACGGCGAAAACCTGTCACATTTGAGATTTGCTAATCCTCTCGTCATCGAGTGACGGACTGCAGGCGATGTTGAATGACCTGGTCAGAGAAAGTGGCAATGTGGGATTGGTCATGAACACATTAAAGACCAAGGCTATGACCAATGGCAAGGAAGAACCTATTCTGATCAATAATAACCTGATTGAATATGTTAATGAATACATCTATTTAGGCCAGATAATCTCTCCTATAAATCTAACCTCAAAAGAAATTGACAGACGCATTGGAAATGCCTGGAAACAATTTTGGAGCCTAAAAGAAATAATGAAAAATAACGACACTAACGTAACCATCAAACGGAAACTCTTTGATACCAGCATACTACCTATACTCACTTATGGCTGCCAAACCTGGGCACTCACTAAAGCACACATTAAAAAGTTAGAAACATGTCAAAACTCCATGGAAAGGAGTATGATGGGGAAAAGACTATCCGATAGAATAAGAATCGAAACCATAAAGAAACACACGAAAACAAAAGATGTCACAATAATAATAAAAAAGTTAAAATGGAAATGGTCAGGCCATATAATTAGAGGAAAAGAGAAATGGTCGAAATCAATAATGAATTGGTTTACAGGTCATATGAAAAGGAAAAAAGGTAGACCATGTAGAAGATGGGAGGATGATATTAAAGCCGTAGCAGGAGGCATATGGAC